TTTTTTTTTTTTTTTTTTTTTTTTTTTTTTTTTTTTTTTTTTTTTTTTTTTTTTTTTGCAGCCAAAATTCGAAAAATTCAGCGACCTGCGTCTGAAGGAGGGTAAGATGGCTGGACTGCTGGATCGCAGGGAAACCGTTTTTTCTCCATGTATACTGAAGCCAAATTCAACCCCGAGAGCGCCAACGCCTCCCCAGCCTGAAAGCAACGAAGTCGATGATGCAGGCAGTATGGACTACCGGTAAATATCGCGACCTTACGTTTTGATTGTGGTTCTTTGTGTCCATTCAAGTAAATAGATAATTTCAAGGAACTAGATAATGCTCTGAAATACGAAATCTTGAAAGAAACCTCGTGTCTCTTAGGTTCGAAGAAGCCCGTCTCCAGAGCTTCGAGAACTGGCCCTCGCCCTACGTACGCCCAGCCGACTTAGCAGCAGCAGGCTTCTATTACACGAAGCAAATCGATCGAGTGCGTTGCTTCGAGTGCAAAACTGAGATTTGCTGCTGGGAAGACGGCGATGACCCCATGTCCGAGCATCAGCGCTGGGGTGGTCGTTGTCGTTTTATTAGAAAGTTGCCTTGCGGTAACGTGCCCATTGGCGCGGATGCCAGTGCGATACCACCTCCAAGACCTCGAGGACGCGACGTTTGCGGACCTTACGGTCTAGATTACAGGCTAAGCGCTGAGGCTGATACGCATGCCGCCACCATGAATCCGTCATCCTCTTCGTCGACGGGCGAGTCGAAGGACCAGTCGCAAATGTTGCCCTCGCCTGCTAGATTGGGCACCCTTGGAATCGCGATTGCCAAGAAGCCCGACTTTCCTGACTATCAGAGTTACGAGGCTAGGTTGGCATCGTTTGCCGACTGGCCTGCTTCGATGGCTCAGACCAAGGAGAAGATGGCTGAGGCTGGCTTTTTCTATTCCGGGACTGAGGATCAGACCACTTGCTATCACTGTGGCGGTGGTTTGAAGAAGTGGGAGCCACAGGACGATCCCTGGGTCCAGCATGCCAAGTGGTTCTCGACTTGCTTTTACGTGAGGGTTGTTAAGGGACAAGAGTTTATTAATGGTGTCGTTGGAAAAGAAATGCCCTCGCTATCCGAAGAGGTAAAAATTGTACTCTTATAACGATTATATAAATATTCCATGACCAATTTACCTTTAACAATGGAAGAAAAAAAAATGATTTTTCGTTATTACAGGAAATAAGTAGGATGAACCTTCCTGGCTACATACAAAAAGTTAATGCCTCCTCGATTCTTCAAAAGCGCGAAATGAAGCAGGAACAGACTGAACAATCTCAGATGGAAGAGTCAAGCGAAAACACTGCGGGACCGAGCACCGCGTGCCCGACTCCTATGCCTCGCACTAAAGTTAATGAGACAGTAGCCACGGTTTCCATGGTAAACTCAAATAGTAGTAGCGATATTGTTGAGCAACAGCAACAGGAACAAGAACAAGAACAGCCTCAGCAGGCTCAAGTTCAGCAGTTGCAACAGCAGCAGGAAAAAGAGCAGCAGGTGTTGCCCACAGAAAAGAAACCCATGGATGACGCGCGTGCCTGCAAAATCTGCTACAATGAGGAATTGGGAATCGTATTTCTTCCGTGCGGACACATTGTGGCGTGCATCAAGTGTGCCCCAGACATGACGACTTGCGCTGTCTGCAGGAAAAAGGTAGACATGATCGTGCGCGCCTTTTTCTCTTAGTACGTTTCAAAGCTGTGGGCTAGTGGTTGGCTCGGGAACAACTTTATTCGACGAGTAGTTTTCATTGTCGCTTCTGTAACGTCGTCGTCATTCGGTTGAAAAAAAAAAAAAAAAAAAAAAAAAGAAAAGAAAGAAAAAAAACCATAATTAGGAAGGCTTCGTTTTGAAAGGACGTTTTTGGTGTTCTTCTCCCACCTTTCCCCACGTGACACGTAAGAAAACGAAACGTAGCCGATGAGAGTAAGACGACATTGAAGCTGATAATGACATGACCTGACTCATGCGCCTCATCTGGTATAAACTATAAACACAAAAGTGACAAACAGTTTTATTTGTGTTTATAGTTTTCCATGATTGTTGAAAATGTATTATTAATACAAAGGACGTACCTTGCGATCGACGCATGATGTCTAGTCATTTTCAGTATTAATTTAAGTTTTTTGTGATTGTATGTTTCAACCTATGTAAACTTTGGCTAAATTAAAATTGAAAACTAATTCCATAAAATACAGGTTCGTTACAAGTACAATTTTAATGTAAAATTCTCCATGTTTTTGTCCAAGTATTGAAGGCAGTAATAGCTGGGATTGTCAAAATTGTCACAAATAAGTAAAACATTGTCAAACATGTGAAAGGTAGTGTTTAGGTTGAATAGCATTTAAAATAAAAATCTCGTGCTATAAAATAAAATGTACAAATTACGTGAAAACTACGGATACACACTTTTTGGGAGTTAATATAAGTATATGTTTATATTTAAAAGAATTTTGTTATTTTTCGAATTATTTTTTTATATTTGATTTTTCAAATAAATATTCCCTCATCAGATGTGTGTCTCTGTAGTTTTCATTATCTAACATTTTGTATGTATTGAAAATAAAATTATTAAAAGAAAACTTTATATTAAACGAACTTTGGCTCTTGAATTAAAATTTAATCAGTGCCAGGTAAAAGGCTTTGTCATGAAAAATTTCACTAATGAGAAATAATATACATATGTATCTTTACTTTGCACGATTTTTCAACACTTATTCCTTCTGTACATTTAATTTGATACTATAACCAGTTATCAAATTTTTAGTAAAATAGATGAAATTATTAACATTTAGTAATAAAAGCAACAATTCCTTAATGATGCACATCAACAAATAGCAAAAAAACGTGATTTTAGACCTTATAAAAGAAAGTTATAAATATAGATATGCAAAAAGAGTTTATTAAAAGTTAGTGATTTTTCAATGCAATAGTTTTTAAGAAAATGTAAATTCTCCTAATTCAAGTATAAGCGACATTTATCATTTATAATTTAGGTATACACACCCGTACGAGGTGTCCTTTAAAATGGTATTGAAGTTTTGAAAAAACAAAAAGCTGCATCAATATTTTCAGCTTCATGCATGTCCCTCTAATCGAGTTTACGAAAGTATATACGTACTCATTGTAAAAAAAAACTTTTAATTTACAAATTTAAATGTAAAATTTTCAGTGTTTATACCATTTGTTTTTTTGACTCGAGTATACACTTTTACATTCAAATAATTTCCACATTGCATGTATAAAAAGTAAAAAAACAAAAAAAAAAAAACATAAAAAAAACAAAAAAAAAACGAATAAATCATCGGTGTAAATAAACGCTCACAAATATAAGCATAAAGAATTTAGTTAGGATTTTAATTTTCTAATGAAAATAGCTACACATAGAAAATAGAACGAGAAACCCGCATTTTTCAATGTACATACATTTATGTATGATACAAATATATTGAAATAAAACAACAAAAAAAAAGGAAAAAATTATTAATATCAAAATTACCGATTTTTCATTACTCAAAATCAAAAACCAACGAAATCACTCCATCCGATCCTTATCACATCTTAAAAAATCGCCAACACCTGCGGACGCATCTGTATGAGTTTCATAAAATATCTATACTTCTCTTAAAAGTGCGGCGCACACAAGATCGTTCAATAAACAGGTTCCGGGCGCGTGCCAGCTGCTTGCGTGTGTCGGACACGCGTACGAAGGACTATACTTGTACCCCCGAAATGTAAGAAAAATACATCTGCCAGTTACCATAGAGCGTAGGCGCTAACCGAAGAGAGGAAAAAAAAAAAGTCGAAGAAAGGCAGAAACTGCGCCGTAACGATATAACGATCGGCAGCTGCTCGCATACCTTATACGTATACACTAGTGGCAAAAATAACAAAAGCCATACGAACTCGCCAGGTGAGCGTATATGCACCTTTCTCTCACTTTGATGGTCTTCATCCCTCTCGCTGCTCTTCTCGTCTATCTTCAGAGAGAGAATTCAACGAGGAGATCGGTATGGTACACCTAGCTAATCTATACGCTTGCAGCGTATACTCCTTCGAAACAAAATATGCGCCCCTTCTTCCTCCCTTGAGTCCCTCTTTTTTTTACTTTCTTTTATCGTTGCATCGCAGCAGCAACGAGTTTCTCTCTCTATACGTGTGCGTGCATATAATAAGCAGCGTGTCCATTTGTACCTCCATACCGGTTTCTCCGTGGCACGTTTTTTTGAGAAAAGAATAAAAATGCTAGCTTTTGTTCCTTTTTCTCTTTGTTCTAAAAAAAAAAAAAAAGTTCAAGAGTCAAGTCGCATGCGCTGCTGCGGTTTTGAAATTCCAAGGGATGCGACTGTCATCCCAGGAGTATCAAGTGCCGACCATCGGTAGTTTTAGTTTGTTTTTTTTTTTTTAGTCAGCAGTAAAAATATTTTTCGAGGGTGCATAAACAATGTAGCGTTATACAGAGCTCAAATTAAAAGGCCGATTTTCACCGCTAAGTTGCAAGCTTCGGTTGGAATCGGTATCCTGATGGAATTAACAGATACAACGTTTGTGGATGATGAAAATCATAAATATACATATAAGGTTTGACATCAGCTAGCAAAAATCGGCACTCATTGCACGTAGAAAATAGTATTCCGAATCAACTGATGTTCGTTCGAGAAAAATCGGTACGCATGCAAACGTACCGATCGTGCTCCTTGGCATTCCAAAACGACAGTCGAAGTCAGGGAAAAGGATGAGCAAATATATACAAAGAAGAAAAAGGAAGGGTGTAGTCTCCATTCATATGATGTAAAATCGGCACGACGGATTCTTCAAGAATGACTCGCGTCCTGGGACTTTACACGCCTCCATAAGATATCTCCCCCTCTCTTTCTCTCGTCATTCTTTTCGACGTGATGAATGCTTGATTGTTGTGCAAGTTGCGTTTAAACAATCCGCTGATGATGTTTCACGTAAGCAACGATACACGATTGCATGCTTGAAAATCTTTACACATAAATGCAATAATAATAATACCCACTGCTACTGCTGTTCATCACAGCATAAATAGACGTAAGATCTTTAAAGATACGCGAGCAATGCGATCTAAAACCGTAAATACATACCGATCGAATTGCAAGTGTATTACATCCCTCCAATAGCCAATACGATAACGTGAATGAGATTTTTTGAGGAGCTCTTTAATATATAAATTGTATATTAAACATATCCGATTTTATCGTGGCACGTATGAACAAAATAACACTTACCGATTTTCGTCTACGATACGTACATTTGTATACCGTCAAAGAAAGTTCGTTACAGCTAAAATCCACGCGCGATGTCGTCATTCGCTTGCTCGCATACTTATCTAAGATTCCTCGTGTGGTGTGAGTAGTATGATGCGTGACCGTTACCCAGAAAATCGGCAGTGCAAGTCCGTGCAGGAATCCTCCTTTTTGGGTCCAACAACAACGAAAACCGTTGTCGTTTCTCTCTTTCATACTATAAGATACGCCCTTTCGATTCAAACGATCACGTGCGTCTCACGCGTCTGCGAGTACGTGTATATTTACGAATAGGAAGGAAAGAAAGATGGTACATTGATCTATATATAATAAAGCGCATACGAAAAGAAGGAAGAGGATGCGTCACGTGTATGGGGGGAGAACATTGAGTCAAGAAATTTTTGAGCACATAGTTTTTGTAAGATAAACAAAAAAGGAAATCGGTTGAGTGCGCGTTAACGTTTTTTGGTTTTTTTCAAGTCTACTGTAGTTTCATGTTTTTAATCTTAAATGTTGAAGAAAAAAAACCTTAAGTAAATGATGTAAAAACGATTTTCGTCGTTTAAAGCGTTGGTATGACATTGTAGCGAAGAATGTCAACTTTAAATTGTACTTTTTTAAAGGATCTACTGCTTTTACATATCCAAATACATTATCATAGAATATAACTTCATATCACATCAAATTAGTTCATTACACACATATGATACGAAATACTTTCACCTGATTTACAGTAATTTTTGATTTACGCATCAACAAGGTGTAGTTGAACTGTTTTTTTTTTTTTTTTTTTTTTTCTTTTTTACAACAAGCATACCAAGAAGAAGGAAAGTTACTCCTGAAAGAAGACATCTAATTTTCAATTGTATATAGGAAGAGCGAATAGAGGAAACCAAATACTTGGGAGGTATGAGGTGTATAGAGGGGCGGATAAGCTCTTGAAATCAGGCAGTTTGCGTTATATAAGATATAAATCTATACATATATATTAAAAAAAAAAGGTCATCGCTCGTGCCAAGGACCTTTTTTTTAGATGGGCACCCTTTTCTCTTATTTTTTGTTTTACCCATGAATGGGTCTCGGAATGGGTTCTAAGCAGCTTAACAATACTAACGCATAAGAGGCACTTTTTCCAAGAAGCCATCATGCATTTCCGGCGCCCGTATACCCCAGGTCTTCGTCATCGATCGTCTTCTCCGTGATGTACCAAGTTGCATTTATTTTGGAGGATTTATATTATAAAGCGCAGATTACATTCCCTGACCAAAATTTAATTTAACAAGTTGGAAATACCGTGAAGCTTACAACATGAATACCATAAGCACACGTTAAATATGCAATAACAAATAAAAGTTCACTATATGATACTGGATCTATTTGAACCCGATAATTCCACGTTGGGGTGGGCGTGCCTCAGAGTAAAAGCGTGTACTTACTTATTACTTACCAATAAATTTATTTAAATAAAATAATTCTGGAAAAGAGGCCTGCGAGGCGTGAACATGGTGAGCAATGAGCATCTATTGGGCAGCCGATGAAGCAATCGTTAATAACTAACGTATGTGTTTTACCGACCGTGGGTTCATACAGTGTGTATTATAGCTGCATACGATGAATACATTTGTAAACAAACAATATAAACGTCATTTGCCATGGTCATTCCTTCAATTTGTTGTAAAAAATTTGGTAGTTGTTTTGTGGTAATTTTTTAAGAATGACGGAACGAAATGTAAGTACATCAATCAACTATTTAAACTTCATTTTTCATTGAAAGACAAAATGAACTTTCTTCATAACCTTAACGGAAGTCAAAAGTTGATTTGAATATCATGCATCGTTGTTTTTTCAAGTATTAACGCGATGATTTCATACATTTTCAGGATATTTGTACATTGAGAGTTCTCCACTTGCCACCTGGTCTCCCAGATGAAAAACGGGACGAACTGTTCAAACTGTATGGAGCAGTGAAAACCAGAACAGTTAGAAGATCAGCAAAGTATACAACGACGTTTGTTGAATTTACGTCAAAAGAACATGCAGAAGAGGTATTTTTGAGGCTGCATCAGCTGCCAGTCAAGGGCAGAAGGCTTTCGATTGAATATGCCAAAAGAAATATATCAGATAACAAGGAAAATGATGATGTTGATGAAGAGGCTGCCAAAAAAGAGGCTGAGCTGGCAAAACAAAAAGCTAATTTTAAAGAGTTTATCAATAAATTGAACACTTGGACTCCCCATGGTATGTTGTCTCAGCCAATACCACCTAATTTGGCATACAAGTACCCAGCTCCAACAAAAATGACTCTTCTAAGGATAGCCATACAATTGAAAAAGGAACCTGCCTTTTATACTCAGGTGATATAATAAGCCATTTTGATACATTTTCGTTTGATTCAATCCTCGGTCATATTTCTAATAAAAATTGTTATCATATAGGTTTTGCATTTGATGAACAAAATGTGCTTACCGCCTCCATTTGAAGGTTTGGAGAAAGAATATCCTCAGCTTAAAGAATTTTACGATATGGAAAATTATAAGGATTTGTTTGATATTACAATTGTATCCCCGGCTGCAGAAGGTACTTGTATTAGTCTTGACTATTATAATTTCAATATTTAAAAAGCATTCATTTGTTATTATTTTTTAATTCTATTAGTAGAGAAAAAAATATCTGAAAACAACTTTCAACAAGTACTTGAGCAACTGGTTCAAGAAGCGTCACAAGAAATTGAAAAAAGTGACCACGAGGAAGAAGAATCGGAAATCGAATCGGATGAGGAGAGTCCCACTGGTCCAAAAATGATAATTCCAGAAAAGCGGAAAAAGCTACAATCCAAAAGGCCTCTTAAAATTCCCAAGTTCATTGATCCTCGCAAACAACTCACAGTACCAACTACTAATACTCAAAAACATAAGCCAAAGGATGTATTTGAAAGTGTGACTGATAAACCTAATACCAAGCGAAAAATTGACGTTAAGATTTTGGCTGAAACAGCTAACAAACCTGAAGATCAAATGCCATTTGTGATACAACCAAGCGATAAAGCTGAAGGCTTTGGTCTTATATTTCCAAGAAAAGATGACGACCAGGAGCATGATAAAGATAAGGAAAAACCAGAGTTCATTAGTACAGAGGAGTTACATAATAACAAGATTACTACTCATGGTGAGTTTGTAATAAAAATATAATTTTTTTTTCAATATTTCAACAAAATAACGAATTTTCGTCCACTAACTTGATTTTTGTCATTATTTGTTACAGATCAAAGACTATTGCCTGTTTTCAAGAATTATCATCCTGGAAAACCTTCTGCTCGTCTTTACATTAAAAACCTTGCCAAACAAGTAGAAGAAAGCGATTTACACTTTATTTACAAGCGATACGTATTACCAAGTTCTAGTGGAACTGAATCAGAGTATGAATATTTATTTCAATTAAGAATATACAGTTTTTATTGCAAGATTATTTAATTACTTTCCCATTTCTAGATACAATGTTCGACTTATGCAAGAAGGAAGAATGAAAGGTCAAGCATTTGTGACACTTCCAAACGTTGCCCAAGCTCAATTAGCACTTGACGAAACTAATGGATACATTTTGAAGGAGAAACCAATGGTGGTTCAGTTTGCAAAAGTTTCTAAATAAGTAATGTAAAAATTTAAGTCTATTTGTAAATACTTATTTTTTATAAAAAAATGTACATAAAAGTGGAGTTTTTACACCGTTATAGTAGAAAATAAATGAATATTTTCCTTGTAGTTTTATTTCATTTGTTTATTGCAGCTTTGTTGACACTTAAACTTTAATATTAGAAATCATAAGAAATGTAATTTATTATGCATTTTATTTTTCGTGAGAGACGAATTTAAATTAACAACTTACCCTTTCAAAATATCGTGCGCATACAGAACATTTTGTCTCTGTGTTTGATTTAACCCTCATTATTATTTTACAGTCTTTGTGACGCCAAAAGCGGCAAGTGTCTTTGAATATGGTTTCACTTTGAATCACATTTGTTGAACTGTTACTAACGCCTTCACACACTTGCATTTTATCAAAAATATGCAAAATACTCAGTAACTTTTGCGTGCTATCTAAAATATCCGGAAGAATAGTAGGGCTGTGATCAACTGGTAGTCCATGAACGGAATAATGCATGTTGGCATTTGTGTCGACTACTATACTTTTCTTCATTATTGATAAATAAACGTTGTTTTCTTTTATGATACTGGCGTTGAAAAAAACAATACATTGTTGGTTTGTTTCAGTCATCATTTCCATAACAGACCATGATTTAGGAATGATAAGGTAACGATAAGTATCCATCAGATTCAAATACGAACTGGCAATTTTTACTTTGGTCATTATTTTTCTTTTCATGCTGATTTCATTGCTTTTCTGGGCGGCTGTTAAAAATATTAGAATTACATAATATTGTATCAAACTGCTGAACTAAATTTTTAGAAATTACATTACCTGTCAATGGTGTTAGTTTTTGTACACGAGGTGCTGTAGAAGAATTTAAATCTACAAATGAAATAATTACATTAAGCAAATGCATTGATATCAATCACTAGATATTTATGAATAGTCATACCTGTTTTGTTTACGATATTTTTATTTGAACTAATGTTAACAGAAAAACTTGGTATGGTTGAAAAATTAATCTTGGCTTTTTTATTCAGGTCCAACTTTTTGTCCAAGACTTTTGTAGGATTTTCTAAAGACTCCGTTTTGACCAATGGACCAGGTTCTTGTTTTATAAGTATTCTTGTTTTCGAAATAGGATTATTCGGTTTGTCTAAACAGACTGGATTATTAATAACAGGACTAGTTATAGGTTTAACATAACATGTTATATTAGTATTTTTTTTGTTAATTTTCTTTGTTTTAGAGTTGACATACACTTTTCTATCCACAAGTCTCATTTTTACATGTTCATTGGGTTTTTTTACATTATGCACGATGTTGGGTACATTGCGTTTTTTTTTAAACAGTTGTTCAAGGTTTAATGGAAAAGTAGTTTCTTTTTTAGCTGACACTCTTACAGGCTCTGCATTACAAGCTATATCTAATTTTTTCTTAAGAATCGACCGAGGTCTATGATTCAAATTTAATTTTTTGTTCAAGACAGTTATATTACCAGCAAGATTTTTTACAGTTTCAATACTACATGATACATTTGGTACTTTTGGCATGGGCTTCTTAACTTGCAGATTAGGATAAGGTTTATTAGATGAAACGGTTGAGCTTGAATTAACTAATGGCCGCTTAGAATTAAAACTTGCTGGTAATGAAGGTCGAGAAATTTTTTTTTGTTTACAACTAAAATTAATTTCAATATCACTTGACCTCTTGGTGCCCTTTGATAGTTTTGGTTGTAAAATTACAACAGGTGCGATAAAATCCTAAAAAAAACCTTGTGTAAATTAAAAGTAATAAACTAAAAAATTTTAATAAAAAAATGATTACATCTTCAACTTTAACTTTTGTCAATTTTCCCATTACATCTTGACTTTTAATAACACTTTTTGCATCTTTTGTATCTTCAATATCTCTAGTTCTTGCAACTTTCTAATAAAAGAAAATTAGACTAAAGTAATTATTCTTTTTTAATTGTAAGTTTTATAATTGAGGTTGTACTTACTTGGCTTATCATTATGACGCTCCTTATTTTAAAATAAGGGTTTATCTACATCACTACTTAAATAGGGACTAATGGATTTGAAAACTATAACAGATAGTTAATATCAACTCAATATAATTTACTATGTTTAGGACACACTTCAAATCGAATATATAAATGCATTTTTTTATCTTGTATGATTTTTTATGACTCACAACTCACAATCGATATTTCTAACTTTTTGTGAATGAATGTGGGTAGTATCCTACGTATTTAAGAAGTTTTCCTACCAGCTTACCAACTATTTACATGAAACTAAGTAATAAGTTAAATTCTGGAGCACACTGAACTTACACACTTAACTAATTAAACGAAGATTAAATCACTACTTCTTAATGTAAAAGTTAAATTATCAGATTAAATATATTTTTATGTACTTGTATAGAGTACGATACGAATACTTCAACGCAATTATTACACATTTAGGCTTTTAAAAAATTATTTATAGAGCTACTAGAAGTTTTCGTTTGCTCGTATACACGACCCACTTCATTACTTATAGGTTAAGTGCACGTAGACGTACTAGTTGAATTCTGTTCTTTAGTCCGAGCGAATCAACTCTCAAAATCACACACCGAATAGAAATCTGATTTGTCAAAATATTGTCAAATATAGTCCTACTATTATAAAAAAAATTAAAACAAAAAACGCTTCATTATAAATTAACTCTACAGTTACAAATTTATGTTTACTGAGTCGTTATTTTATAATATTTGTAACATTAAGAAAAAAAAAAAAAGTTGGCGATCAGGTATATAAAATATATCAAGATAATAGTCAAGTTTTCATAAAATTATGTTTGCTCACCCCAAAGTTTTAAAGTTGAAAAGATTTTTTATTATACTTGTTGTATTAAAAACTTTTTAATGACAATTTCGAGCGCTGCAAATTATGATATTCTGTGAAATTTGACCAGACTATTTGAGGTATTGTATGAGATCGTATAGTAGGTGATGTGATAAGGTGATATGGGCGCCATAGATATATAGCATCGAAAGAAAATGCACGTAAAAATAATGCATATAAGTTTACTTATATTCTTATATTCTTCCGAAACTCGCAACGAACTAATTTATTTGTCATTTCTGTGGGAAGTCAGACATTTAGAGTTTGGGTTCCGCCGTTTTGTGTAACATGTGTCGACCAATAAATAAGTAACAAGAGTTATATACTAGGTACATTTGTTAATATTGGGTCTTGGCCAATAGTTTGACTCCTCTCTTTTTCTCTCTCTATCTTTCTCTTTCGGACTAAAAAGTTCACACAAAAAAAAAAAAAAATACTTTTTCGAGGCACACATTCATGAAGTTTTTTATTATCTTTCATATATGGCCAGAAGTACGAAAAGAAATCGGTAAACGTGAAAAATTTGACATAATTACTCATCAAATTTGTATATTTTCGACGTTGTTGTAGCAAAAACGTGTGATTTTGTAATGAAAACACGTATATACAGGTACTGTTTTTGTTGTACTCTTTACACTTTAAAGGGCCTTGCGGCACTTGGTTGCGACACACTTCAATACAATCAACACGCAATATCAAGTCCTGTAATTGTTATTATAGTAAAATACGTTTATTGCACCTATGGTTGTTGTACTGCAGTTCAAGTGCAGCTGTTTACATATATATTATATTAATATGGTCAAGCAAATTGTTGGGAGAGTTTGACATAAAAAAGAAAACTTGAATGTACTATTAGTACCATTAGACTGAGTGGAATTGTTTAAGTCAAGAGGTAATATATACATGATAAATATAGTTTCTACCATGTAATAATGAGGAAAAGCGATAACTCAAAAATGCCTTGAAAACGGCGCTAACTCAGAGGTATTTTTTTTCTTCTAAAATTATGGTGACAGTATATTTTTTTGTTTGTAGATAAAAAAAAAAATTTTTTTTTTTAATATAAATAGACTTTGGAACATCATATCAATTGCAGAAGCAAACTAAAAACCTTATAAACAAGCAGGGTGTGTTCCGAAAGTCAAGCTCGTCCCTTTTGATAACTTAATTATGCCATATATAAGATAAGTACATTAAGACTCATTCAAGCCACCAATAAGTGATGAGCTTGACTTTCGGAGCCCAGCCTAAGTCTATTTAACAATTTATAAACATATAGACCTTCATACCCGAAAAAAATCTGAGAACAACTATCAAAAGAATAATATATTTATAAAATTTCTCCAGATTCAGTAAATATTGATCTGGATGTTAAGAATGGCTCAGCAAGAAACACAGTGTCACGTTTGAAAGGTCTTAACGTATTTTTTGTGGAACTATTCATCTACCGATCGAACGGAGAGCCCTCCAAAGCCCAAAGTAGATCGTGTAGTTTTTACCTCATGCGCACCTACCTATACTACATCGAATTCTTTTTCAAATCCCAAGCCCTTAATAAGTACCTGGAACTCTAAATTTTCAGCCAGCACAAAAGCCACCTGCTGGTCCCTTGTAACGTGTGTGCCCTCGCCTCGGCCCTTCTAAAAAACGTACCAAGTTGGGTATTAAGTATAAGAAAATCCGCCCAAGTCGCCAATACGCCGTCCGATTAATTACCGCTGCCAGCGCAGGCGCAGGTCTTATATACTTATACATACGGCCCCGGCCCCGCGGGTCGTCGCCGCCGTTGTCGAGTTATAAGTAAGAGGTAGTCCGGCCTCGACCACCGTTCAGCCGCCTGTTGTGTACAGTTGTTCTCTCGCATTTACACTTGCGCCTCTCTTCGATCCAATCTCTTCGCCAAATGGTCATATTTGCGTGTACACATTAGCAAGTTAGCAACCACACGGGGTAACGTAACATATATTTAACGAATCAACAATCAACAATCAGCCATGGAGTTGAGCGTGTTACTCCAGCACACGCAGTACGCGCTGCCGGTCGCCGCCACCTTCATCATCGCCATCCTTGTGTTCGTCGTTGGCATCAAGAGGGCCGAGCAGCCGTCTTTCGCCCATCTGTCCAACGTTGGGGACCCCGAGCGCAAGGTTCAGACTAAAAAGAAGAGCAAATCGAAAGAGAAGGTAATTGTATACTCACTTTTACTTACGTGCAACGTTACTTTGATGCTCAATATGTACATTATACTCACTTACAATTATTACAATATCATCTACCTGCTGCTGTATTGTTGGTTCGTGCTTCACACGGTAATCAACATAAATTTTTGCTCGCACAAACAGCTGTCGCGAGAGGATTTTTCTCGGCAATATTTAAAAACATATAGCGGTATAATTTCTCATTGGGGGGGTGGGTGATCGATACGCGGGGGGCGGCTGCTGGAGGCGAAACACCCTCGAGGTTAGGTTAGGAATTTAATCAACGTATTATATACAACAGGAGCCTAGGATTTGATATTTTGTAGTGAGTGACTCTCCTTTATGAAGTTTTTTTTTTTTTTTTTTTCATCCTCGGAGTTATGCGAGCCACGCTGATTGATTTCCAGGTCGGCATGCGGAGCGTCTCCGCTATGCCTCTCTCTTTCCCTTCCCTCTCTCCATATGCAAGTTCACGCTGTGTTGAGTTGTAGACGTCGCGTTGCGCTTGGCTCCGATTTTTTTTTCTTCTCTTTTTACGTTTTGCGTTTCGGAGCTGAGGTTGTTTATTTTGTTTTATTTTTTTTCTTTCAAGTACCGTAGAGTGAATGAATCGTAAAAAAATAGAGCAAGGTTGAGCAAAGTGATATTTTTTACTAGGATAAATCATATGCAGATTCTTACTTGATAGGTGCCATATGCGTGTGAGACCATGTGACACTATGGCCCGTTTTTTCTTATGAATTCCCGAAAATGAATTATTGAAATATATAAACATATTAATAATTTTTATAGAGTTTCAAATCATTTTTCACTCCAATGCGAGCTCGATAGAAGAAAAAAAAATACAATTTCTACTCATTATTCTTTTGGACTTTATGTGGGTATCATTTAAAAGTCATACATAAGCTCGGTTTCCTTCATCAATAAACATAAGTATACTCGAGCATATCGCAAGAGCTGCTTATCTGCATGCGCACTGAATTAGGTTTTAATATCGGAGACCCGAAAAATATGAAAAAAAGTGTACATGTACAGAAACGAGACTGCCTGTAAATCTCTTTTTATATATGATTCTCTGTATTTTATTATCATCGCCAAAGTCAAGGGGTCAAAGAAGTCTTGGAGATACATTATTTTCTCATACAAAGTGATGATGACTGTAAGAGAGAATGAAAGGCGACGGGCTAAACCTGTTCCCTCTCATACACTTAATGTGTACATCTTCCTCTATCTCGCTCTCTTTACCCGTAGGAAAAGGGTCGCGCAATAATTTATTTTACTTATTTTTTTACATTCTTCAGGTATCTTTTTTGAACACGTATATTTTTATTATTGCCATGGCAAAATCACTTGTGCATGCTATGCGTGTATGCATATTACATTACACACAATACCTGAATTGAAAGTTAGAGAGACAATAACGAAAAAAAGAGTCGCGAAGTATGCAATGCTTTTTTTTCTTTCCATAAAAATAGGCGAGTAGGTTCTGCGTGCTTCGGAACAACAACAAAAATATTGCGTTTAATAAGATGGGTTTTCAACTTTATGGCACAAGCATATTTAATTAATAAACTTTTGTTTTTCCTTACGTATCGTTTAGATTTTTTTCGAAGACGGGTAAATGTTGCGGTCAAATACAAAAAAAAGACCCTGTTTATGGGTCCCCGGGTTGAACGCGCGCTGCCATATGTTTTTTCTATACATGTTGTGTGTGCCACGCACGCATGATGAAGATNGCATCGAGGCAAAATGCAAATTCTCCATCATCAACAGCAGAAGAGAGGAGACCAATGTCAAGAGCTCGAGATATTGTCACAGGTTCGTCAAAATCATCGACTCGCAGCGCTTCACCGGCCTCGCCAACTTTATAAGGCGAGACCACGTGATGGACCCGTTATATATAATGTACACAACACGCGCTCTTGCTCTTCTCTGACTTTTTATCTCCCCGCACAAACCATAGCAGACAGTCCATCTAATCAGCTGAGTGGGACGCAGCTTTAGCTCCAAAATATGCGTCCTTCAGCCGTTGTGATGTAACAGTTACAGTTCACTGCAACTGGATTATATATTATATACGTGTGTTTTTGCACCTTTTTTTTGTACATGCAATTTTGTACTCTACTTTTTAGGAGTCTTTTATTATTGCAATCAAGAGAAATTTGAAAATTTTCTGTTAAATTTGTTAATTAGGACGTTTCATAGAATGTTTTTATGTTTCTTAACAAATAATTCTAATAAGATTGAGTAGTATTTTTACATTTATAACATTCAAATTAAAAATTGTATCCATATATTAATTAGGATGAGATTGTATTATTTGTATTTAGTTATAATTAATTACAAGTAATTGTAATCATAATTAATGCATGATAATTGTTCGATACTTTAATAAACTTGTATTTCAAAACAGTATCTCGATTTGAAGCGTCGCACAATGGCCAGATGTTAAATTTAATTCAAAGCGGTGGTGAGCTTCCAATTTTCGCTTATATTTAACCGAGCTATTTTCGTTAATTTTAGCGGGCAGCCAATGGCCAGGTGACGGCGGAGAAGAGTCCTTCGAAAAAGGCCGCTTCCGTCAAAGAAACGGTAGCCAACAACAAAAAGTCTAACAAATCAGTAGATGAGGTCGCTGAAAGCAAGCCAAAGGAGCGCAAGCAAGAAGATAACAAGCATTCAAACAAGACCCACGAAGCTGTCAAGGTTGCCAAGGAGAACAAGGTAGAACACGCAAAGAATAAGAAAAACCTGAAGAATCTGATGCAAGAAAAGCCGGTTGACTACGATGAGGGTATTTTCATTTAATTTTTTTGAATATACTTTTTCTGGTACGCGTTTTTTTATTAAATAAATGTTTCGTCTTTAGGTGACTGGGAGCAAGCATATTCACGAAAAGACAAATTGAAGAAGAAGAGGGAAGAGGAGACTACTCCATCAAAGAAGTCCAAGAAATCAAAGAAGGCTGAGTTGATTACCGAAGTTGTCAATAATAAGGAGCAAGAGAAGCCGGAGATTAAGGACAAAACTGTTAAGGAAACGGAAAATAAGGAGTTAAAAGAGAAGGATAGTCAGGAGGTTATTTTGACTCCTATTTCCAATGAAGAACTTGAAAAGGAAAAAGAAGCCAACAAGAACGAGGAGGCCCCGGCCAAGGTATGTACTAAAAGATTGATTTATACTTTAGCTTCACTGAAACTTTTTAATTAATCAATTTTTTTTGTCTTGCTGTAGCAGTCGCCAAAAGTAGAGAAAACCGAGAAGGAGGAAAAAAAATCTGGTAAAGGCAAGAAAGCCAAGAAAAACGCCGAAGTTGATGTTGCTAAGTTGACTAACGAGGCATCGCCTAAGCAAGAAAAGAAATCTACTGCTGGACCTGTAATCGAGAAAATAGCTGAAGTTGTCGTGAAAATAGAACCCATTATCGAGGCTAATGTAACTGAAAAAATCGAGCAGACAACTGGAGTTGTCGTTTTTGATGAACTTGGAGGTAACTGTTACACTTATAAAAACAATAAACAGCTTTCTTTATTACTTTAAATGACTTGAAAAATAAAAATAAAAATCTATTTCAGATGTTTGGAAAGAAGCTAAGCCTCCTAAAAAAAGCAAAAAGAAGAGTCGCAAAGATAATTGAAGAGACAAACTTTTGAAGTAAAGACAAGTTCCTTACACTTGGGAATATCAAACGAAAAGTTTGCTTCGTGTTTCCTTGTACATAAAGACCACCTTCAATAGTAGAAATCAAGTTGTATAAGTTCGACTTCAATGAAACTGCCGTACCGGAATTTTTTCGGAAAAGGGTGAATTTTTGTTTCATGCAATACAATTTGATTCAAATGCAATTTTAAATGTTGTTTAAGTCGAGCTTAAGTCACTACAATCGAAACTTGAAATGAACGTTTTTGGTATTTTTTAGTGAATTAGGGAACAACAATCTGTTGCTCTCATAGAGCGTTTTGAAGAGGAATGTGACCGAAAGTTTTATTCACACTCCTTTTTTTTATTTTCATTGAGAATGTTTGGCTACCAGCCATGTAAAAAAAAGCATGTAAACCAATTTGAGTCTGAATGGCTTTTAGATAAAAATTTGTTGATAGATGCTTTGAAAGAAAATTTTATGTGATTGTTCAAATCTAAATTGTAAAAAAAAAATTATTCAAATGTTGAATTGATTATTGCTTCTTACTCTAATTCTCTTCTAATGTAATTATGAATAATGCAAGAATCATTTTTTAATGTTATTATTGATGGATATATTATAATTATTGTTATTATCAATGTTGCACATGGACTAATGATTTGGTATGATAGTCACAAGTTTATGTGTAAAAAAGTGGTGGAAGAGTGCTTGCTGGATTCTCTTTTAATTTCATTTCGTATTTTGTTGTATCACTTGTGATGTATTTTAATATTTAAATATGTAAAAATTCCTGAGACACCCGAAGTTTGAAAAAATTTCTGTAATTTTAGGAATTTTTTTCTGCACGATTTAATATTTTATGACAATAGATTGAATATGCAGAATCCCAGCTATGTAAGTAATAGTAAGCGTTCCGATAACACTTATGTTTAGTGCATTTTAATTGTGTATGTAAAGGCTTTGGTATATGTTATTGTAATTATTTTTGTATGGAAACTGTTTGATGTGGATAAAAATCAGTAATTATGTGCGAGTAATTCTCAGTCCATCACGGATTATTATATACAAAATAGTTTTTCAATTTGTTATAAATCGAATGTAAACAACATTGTCTTTCATATGGACGCAGTGTAGAAAGTGTGTTTACTTTTATTATGTTTGTCAAGTATCAAAGTTGATCAATTTCTACCGTTCAATTGTATTTAAAGCTTATTTCACGAGAAGGTAAAATCATGTAATACATTCATTGTTATAAAATATAAATCATAGGAACACACTAACAAACAAAATTGCCAGAGGCTGTATCTAGTGTTTAAGCCGTTTATTTAAATGAAATGTAAACGTTGTTTTAGTTAAAACACGACAACGATTTCCATGTAAAAAAACCAGTGATTGCAGGGATACGAAAGTAACTCGAACGTAATTAATGAAGAGAGAAACTCCATATTTTAGTTAATCATGTCACAATTGTACATATACTAACGACGCGTGTATTGTGTGTTTTTCAAACATATTACAGTAATTGTAAATATGTAAATTAAATACAAATAGATATTCGTCAATGGGAGATTGTCTAAGGCGACGGCGGTTGCCTATTGAGACTGACATTCCATTTTTTTCATTTTTCGCTGAATTATTTAAGATATATGCGTTATGCGAACAACATAGTGACGTCATGGGCCCCGTCGTAGTCTTCTAATTTAGCATTTAGATTCGTTCAAATAAAATCAAAGTTCAGTAATTCATTTTCTGTGTGATTTAATGTATGAAACGATAATAAAAATCAGGAATTGTGCCGAAAAAGTTTGTACCAAGATAATATATATATATACATATATAATTTAATCAATTAAATATTTTGTCTAATTAAAAAATGTGTTTGTTTGAGTCTTCTTAATAGTAGTTGCATACGCGTCTCTCTTCCTCATCATGAAAGGAAAGTTTGCCGTTTTCAGATTACAAAAGTATTTTTAACAACAAATATTAAGTATGCATTGCCAAATCACTTGAGGATCGAGAGGAATTAGATGAGGATTATTGAAATATGACGCGGAGATTCATCGATTAAAGTACCCATGTGTCGAGATCATTCGTTTTAATTTTTGTACAGAGTATTATAGATTTAGCCTAATAATTTGTATCCATTAATCGTTATAATTTTATATAAGTAGAAAATATTTTAAATGGAACAAGTTTCGCTTTTCTCGTGATGCTGCTTTGTTTTTCGGGACGCCAATTAAGGATATAATATATTAATCGCTGCTACAGTTATTGTAAAAGGATTTCAGGCACGATTGATATTTATTTAATTTTGATGCTCACCATCATTAATTAATGTATTTAAGACACTTTCATTATTTACACGTAACATTCAATGAAGTGCCGATGGGTAATTTTAAAAGATAGAACATAAAAGATAAATATTGGGACTTGTGAAATCGTAGCCAGTTGGCTACGATGATTTTGGATATTCATTGTTGATATGAAGATCGAGGCAATCAGCGAAGAGATTTGAGTTGTAATGCATGATTTGCTGCTAAATTTTGTGTACGAGTAAGAGTTGGCACGAGTAATTAGTGGTAGAGAAAATTGTGTACTTAATTATACGATAAAATGCAAGGAAAATATTTAATAAAGATGTTATATTTTTCCAGCATCAAATAGTTTGTTTTTTTTTTATCAAACAGTGTCTTTTTTATTTTTTAGCGGTAAAATGATGAAAACTAATAAGTAAATTCACAGACATTTTATCCATTACAAACTGCGATTGCAATAGTGTAATAACTAATATCGCCAACCTCTACAGCCGAATGATAACTAAAACTAAACTGTAAATACATATATTATGTGGTCGTTCAATTAAAAATTCATTCCACAATTCATTCAAAATGACAAAATTAATTTCATAGTTTATAATCAGGGCCATCTCGCGTTGCGAATTTCGACTTAAAAAGTAACCCTAAAAGCCGACAACCTCTTTGAGGGTTAGGTTAGGCGGCCTAACTCCTAACTTAGGCCGGTTAGCGGTTAGGGTTTGGGTTTGGGGTACTTTTAAGTTTGAAATTTTTAACGCAAGATGGCGCTGATTTAAATAATTATGACTATACTTATAGTAAAGCCATGTAATCAATTATAAACCAGCCGCAACAAATTATACAGATATAAATTGAAAAGGAAACATTGTTTGAGCTATTTGCAGCAAGCTTAAAATTTATCTTTTACCTGATCTACCTCCAAAAGTATAAATACATAGGAGGTCGATTTTTGATAACAGATAGATTTTAAATTTGCCGCAAACAGCACAAACAACCTTAACTTTTCATTTTATAACTATACAATTAGTTACGGCAGGTTTATAATTATTTAAATATTAAATGGTAAATATAACATATAAGTTGAGCATTTACAAACATTTTTAATTTTTTCAACAATTTTGTGATAATTTATTGCAGAAAAAAATTCATCAAGAAACTGGAGCATCGTTCGCATTAGATATTAAAAGAAAAAAAGTGGTTGACTTTCCTTTTTTATACTATTAGCCATATACTTATGCATGTAAATCATTGACACAGTATATTTATTGAGTTACCTGAATGAACGATGTTTTTATCCCATTATTTGTCTATCTTATATACTATTGTATACTTTAATGATAATTAGTATGAACTTCCTTGTCACTTATTAGTATTTTGAATAAAGATATCAACTCTTTGTAATGCATATTTCAACAGTTTATTTTTATTCCATTCATCTCCCATTGATGCTACAAAATTTTCAAGATAAAGAACATTTTAATGAAACAAAGCCAGCACAATTCAATAATTAATTCTCTATAGGAATTAATGATGGACAAGAAGACAAATAGTTCCAGCAAATGTTGTCGGTTGTCTCAATTACTGGATTGTTGCTCTCAAACACAAATGGCGTGTTCATTTATTGATGGTCGAAACGTTTAATGGAGTTGGATAGTCTGCTCCTTTTTGTTGATGGCATTAATTAACTTTGTTAGCTTTTTAAGTTAACTTTCTTGAAAAGTAAACTGAAACGTCGTTCAACATACCTGCAGAGGATGCATCATGTTTCTCTTTAATTCTTTCAAGTAAAAGATATAATGTAAACTTGCCGCAAACAGCACAAACAACCTTAACTTTTTATTTTACAACTACACGATCAGGTGCGGCTGGTTTATAATAATTAAAATGGCTCTACAAAGAACAGTAATAATTATTTGGATCAGCGCCATCTAGCGGTCTTCATTTTTTAGCGAAAAGTGGCCTCTAAAATTCTCAATTAGAGCAATCAGGCTTAGAGCTATTTAATCAATTATAAACCAGCCGCAACTCATGATAAAGCTATAAAATGGGAAAATAACAATATATGTGTTTTTGGCGGCAAATTAACAATCTACCTTATGCTCAAAAATTTATCTTCAAAAGTATAAATACATAGGAGGTCGATTTTTTGGTAAAAAATAGATTTTTAACTTGCCGCCAAAAACACATGTATCGTTATTTTTTTATTTTATAGCTTTATCATAAGTTGCGGCTGGTTTATAATTGATTAAATAGCTCCAAGCCTGATTGCTCTGATTGAGAATTTTAGAGGCCACTTTTTGCCAAAAAATGAAGACCGCTAGATGGCGCTGATCCAAATAATTATCACAACTTACAGTAGAGCCTTTTAATTGGTTATAAACCAGCTGCAAATAAGACTGTAAATGTAAAATAAAAAGTTGACACTTTCTGTGGTATTTGCGGCAAGTTTACAACATATCTTTTACCCGAAAATTGACCTCCAAAAGTATAGATATTCATATGGTTTAATAAAATCGACCATATCACCATATGTCACTACTTAGTACTTTACTAGTAAGACGACAGAAAGTTTGATATTTATGATATAAGTGGATTAATCTGAATTAAACATGATTTTTACCTACATACGCTATTATCATGAGTGCAAGGGAGACGGTAACATCATGGGTGTGTTCCAGTAACGCTCTCCGACAACTTACCGACAACTTAATTATGTCCTACGATATCTCGCGTCATGTTGAAGTTGTCGGTAAGTTGTCGGAGAGCGTTACTGGAACTCACCCTAGATTCGAGGCTGAAGAAAGTTAGTTCGGAACGCACTCAGTGTAAAACTATATGTAAATCTAGAAATGGACAAAGTGGATGATAATATCATCATCATCGTGATATATTTACGTGGATAGTGGATATACATTGAAATTCTGATGGTACCAACTAAAGATCTAACTTCCCGAACACACTTGAAAACTTTGTTTACCCTTTACCTACATCAGACGGAAAAGATCAATGCCAGTTGATCTTCTTGATCTGCTGTCATAATGTACTGCAGTTGTGAAAATCTTTCCTTTTTTACGTACAATTAAGTTTTAAATTTTAAGAGCAGTGATCGCTCGCACTATGTGTTCACAGAACCTGCAAGTCCCAAGTGCAATGCACCAAACACAAGATTGCCATACTACCATGAATATCTCAAGTATTTGTGAGGAATACCTGCACCTTGGCTTTTCCTAACTTTTTTTTCACGAAGGTGAGTAGAAATAAATAATTTTATGTGAATTTGATAACAGCATAAATTCTCAAATTCACTTGGTCTATTTTAATAACCATCAGCCAACAATCAAGTCCTTCCTAGCAGGAGCAATGGATGACATTTGTATTCCCAAGTCACCCATTCCTGACAAGTGGGACACCACGCGCATGGAAATCATCAAGTTCAAGTACATGTGGACCATCAGCAACTTCAGCTTCTTTTGGAACAACACCCCAGGAGCCTACATGGACTCACCTGTGTTCTCGACAGGAGCCAACGACAAGATCAAGTGGCACTTGCGCCTGTACCCTAACGGCAACTACTACGCCTCGGACTACGGTAACATCGCTCTGTACCTCTACCTAAAGTGCTGCGACGCCCCAAGCATCGAGGCAAAATGCAAATTCTCCATCATCAACAGCAGAAGAGAGGAGACCAATGTCAAGAGCTCGAGATATTGTCACAGGTTCGTCAAAATCATCGACTCGCAGCGCTTCACCGGCCTCGCCAACTTTATAAGGCGAGACCACGTGATGGACCCGTTGAACGGGCTACTACCCAATGACACCTTGACTATCCTGTGCGAGATAAGAGCCTGCAGGGGCATCGTCAACATTTTGGGCCTAAACATATCGGAGCAGCTCAGGATGCCCAGAACTCAGCCAGACGATTTTGGTGCTCTCCTGGAGAGCGAGGAATTCAGCGACGTCTCGATCGTTGTGGGCTGCCGGGAGTTCAAGGTGCACAAGGCTATCCTTGCAGCGCGCAGTCCCGTTTTCATGGCCATGTTCAAACACGATATGAAGGAGCGCCACGAGAACATCGTCGAGATCCACGACATTGACGAGCGAGTGATGCGCGAGGTGTTGAGGTTCATCTACGCCGAGCGAGTCGAGAGGATCCAAGAGTTAGCCAAGGATTTGCTGGCCGCGGCTGAGATGTACTCGCTCGATGGCTTGAAGATCATGTGCGAGGAGGCCTTGTGCGGGAAATTGACGATAAACAACGCCGCGGACGTACTGGCGCTCGCTGACATGTACAACGCCGACTGCCTGAAGAGCCAGGTCATTCATTTTTTGGTGGCACACGGCAAGGATCCGTCCCTCTGGACTAAGTATCTCAATGGGAACAACAAGTCCTCGATATTCGCTGGACTGTCCGACATACTCAGCAACTATGTTAAATTGTTGATTATATCCTCGCTTTGCGCCTTCATCGCGGTACTGATGGTGCCCTACGTGTCACTGCTCGTCGATCCCATGTGTGACGTGACGGCTAAATTCTGCGCTCCGCCCAAGGAAATCGTCAT